CCCCAAAACCCCAAAACCCCAAAACCCCAAAACCCCAAAACCCCTCAGAGCAAATGCCTTATTGGGTTGGAATTATTTATTCTCAGCAGTCTTCTGGCACAACTGTACCATTCTTTTTAAAATCTTCGCTTTCTCATGCTTGCTGTATGACTTCCTAAATTATTAGAGCAGGGATTACTCCTTTTCCTTGCCGTATGTCTTACAGGCTTCGCTTAATGTGAGCTTGAAGTCCTCTAGGTACTTATTGGTCTTAAGGAATTTCGTCCCCATCATGTTTGTCGACTGAGGAGACATCGTGCCCTTAGTCGTCCCAGCAGTCTTCGTAGGCCCGTTGACAAACAAATTCTTGCCATAAGAGATATCTATATCCTTAGCGAAGGACATCGGGTTCCCTGTAGAGTTCAGTATCATGTCAAGCAAAGTCTGCTGGGGGCTCATAGTGATTTGGTTATTCTTACTGGCGCTCTTCCCAGATTTCTGTGACTTCTTGGTCATGAACATGCTTCTCTGGGTCTGACTGAAGCTCATGTTGTTCTTACTCTTCTTAGCCACTTTTTTAGGACTGACTTTACTTCCACCAGACTTGTTTTCACTAACATTTGGAGAGATAATCTGAGAATTATGATAGTTCTTCTTGGAATTCCGCGATATTAGAGGTCTGGTTGAGCTCTTGCTTGGGCTCACCCGCTTCGGTCTCGATTTTTTCAGCTTCAGGGTGATGATCTGAGACTGGTTCATACTGCCCTTGGACTTCTTCCTGAGAGATTTGACTATCAGTGGGCTTTTATTCGTCGATTTTCGCTTTAATTTATTTTATCAAGCTCTCCATTTTCTCAGGTTTTTTCGTAATAGATCCTCTTCTTTGTGAGCTCTTGCTTCGAGAGGTTGACCTCTTCATATTGCATGCCTTGATTTTTAACTTCTTGTTCTTCTGAGAGGCTCTGATTGGCCTCTCAGAAGCATGAGCACTCTGGTGGGACATCCTTCTGGACTTAAACCTAGCCTGGATTTTATTGCCTGAAGAGGGCTTTTCAGTTGCCATGACTGAGCGATGGAAGTTCTTGCTCTTTCGAGGCATGCTCTTGCGGCACAATTTCTGTTTCTGGATAGTAATCCGGCAACTTCCAGGATTCGTCTTATTTTGAAGGCTCACCTGTACGCTTTGAGATTCCCTTCTTGTACTGTTTTATTACCCGATCCATCTCTGAATGCTTGTTAAGGGTGAATTCCTCTGATTTGATCGGGACTTTATTTAGGTTGATAAAATTCTCGCAGATCTGGGAGTATTTTTCATCTCGAGAGGAAACCTCCTCATCTGAGGGGAGCAGATCCTCATTAGGCTGAGGCCGTTCTTGAGACTTCCGGCTTTCTTGGAGTCTGTTTGATAATCTAGAAATTAAGCGGAAAATACCTAGAATGACGCTCTTTAGCTCGCTCTGCATTAATTTTGGAATTTTCTTTAAGTTTTTCTGTGTCTAGGAAGAATTTACTCTTTTTAATATGAGGCTCTTGAAGTATTTCAGAATCTGGAATTGAGACTTGTTGGGAGTACTCCTTCTCACAATCATCGAAGAATTCGTTTAAGCTCTCCATCATCCTAAAATTAGTGTTAAATTTGAGTTTGAGGGGTGGCTCTAGTCCATATCGGATTGATGGAGCATCTCATTATGAACTCGGGTTATTGCTATAAACCAAGAAATGCTCTAATTTGTAAATTTTCTTTGTTTTCATTTAACCAAAACCTTAAATTTCTATTATTGGGGGAGGTATTGCCAGCAAACCTTACCAGATGTCTTCTCTTGGTTCAAAAATACTTAGTTGATGGTTTGCTGTTTCTCTTGCCATTTTATGTAGCAAATATGCCTTTAAATATTTAAATATTTACAATAATACTCTCATGCAGAGGGGTTTTGGGGTTTTGGGGTTTTGGGGG